TTTTAAAGCCTTAAGCCTATTTCAGTGTTTATAGTGCAAGCGCTGGGCAAGCATACTTTTGATTTCTCAGCAGTTGTGCTCAGAAGGAGATTATAGGGAATTGCAAAAATGTCCCCTGTTTCTGCCGTAGAACACCTGTGTGTGTGTGTGTGTGTGTGTGTGTGTGTGTGTGTGAAATCCCCTGTTAAGCTCTACCAGCTCATGGCCAAGACAGCCTGCATTAGTCAGTTTTTTTGCAACATAGGAAAACATATGTCACCTAGATCTGGGTTACTCAACCTCAGCAACTTTAAGATGGGTGGACTTCAACTCTCAGAAATCTGGGAGTTGAAGTCCACCCATCTTAAAGTTGCTGAGGTTGAGGAAGCCTGACCTAGATGTTCTCTATTATAATGTATAATAACATCCCTTTCATGCGTCCTCTCCCTCTGTTAACCTTTCAGGTATTATGATGCTGTAGATGCCAAAAAGGATCGAGCTAGCAAGCATTCCCAGACCTTTGGGGCCAAACAGCCAATGCATCTAGGAGCTGGGCCAGGCCAGGTGGGCTGGATTAAGTTTGATACGGGTAGGAGTTTGTATTGGTGGACAAAATATGAGCCGATGGCTTAATCCTTTCCTTGCCTAAAAAGAGTCAGTTAAAATAATATCCCAAGAGGTATATCCAGATTTATGGATGTCTCCCCATGCTCTCATCTGTGGTGAGGAAGGGAGAGTTACACTGAAAGAGAAGAAGAAGGTGGGGTGAGACATCTAGTCCTAGAGCAAACCTCTGGAATTCCCCCAGGACAAGAACATCTGGCTGTCCCTCATTGACATGCTGCGCAAGAAGGACCAACTGCCGGTGGTCGCCTTCACGTTCTCTCGCAATCGCTGTGACGAAAACGCCTCCATGCTAACCACTGTTGATCTGACCACAACGACTGAGAAAAGCGAGATTCACATCTTCTTCCAGAAGTGCATCTCCCGATTGAAGGGTACAGATCGGCAGCTGCCTCAGGTGAGAAAAGAAGAGATTAATAGGGTCAGCTTTGCAGTGTAGCCGGTGTGGGAGTTGAGCCTCAGGGCCTCAACGGTTGCCAAGAGGAAGAGGAACTGTCAGGTTTAGCCCAAAGAACTCCAAGAGACAATGCAAATTCAGTTCGGCTGTGTTTATTAGCTACAACCCCTAGACAGAATCCCCCAAGACTGAACCCTAGCTCCCAAGCCAGC